AAATTCATCTTTTTTTAGGATTAAGGAAATAGCCACATCTCTTCCTCTAATCATAATTGCTCGGCAAAATATATGTTATTTTGAAAGTAGAGGTTCTGAGCAATCGAATGTTGCAAAGAAATTCACATGTTACCGGGCAAACCTGAGAGTACGTTTACCTTAAAGATGATAATCTGTATAGGGCCCTAGTAGCGTATTGGTGTTGATCTATAGTGATAGAATTCATATGAATAATCGCCTTTGCGCTTGTTGCTAACTGAGCTTTATGAAAATTGCCATATCTCCTCACGAAGGCAGAATTGCTCAACAAAATATATGTTTTTCTGGACGTTGTCGAGCGATTTTGCTCACTTGAGGAGATATAGCCTATTTTGGATTTCATGTTTCTAAGATTCATGAGCTGTGTATGTGTTGTGGAGCGATTTTGTACACTACGTGTAATATCAACGATTTTCTGAAGCCATCTCACGTAGATGAGTGGCTCATTCCAGTACATTACGTCTGTATTGATCAACGTATACAAGAGGGTAGTAATATCGGTATCATCATATTCAAGCTAAGAGTAAATGCTATCCGGCACGGATTCATTTCAGTTGATATTAGTGTGCATTTGACTTCTACTACACAATACTCTTCAGTTTTGAGCATAAATTTGTTTCACTTTAGTGAGTATAAATTTGCAATTGACCTATTCTTCACTTCAGGTGAATTGATTATATTCGTAATATGAATCCAAACTCTACCCAGTTTTTATTTAGTGTTTATCATTGGTTTAATTCTCGTTGTATGGATCCTAATTAGCTGCGATCATGCTTATTTACTCAAATCGGATTAATTTATGTTGAAATACTTCTCATTGTTCGAGAAAGCAGTTGTTAATATGTGAAGAGAGCTGTGGCAGAATGTCTTTATGCATGATGCATTTTGTGGTGTGACCGACAAATGCATCTACGACAAGTCTGATAAACTCCAATAAAATGCACCAGGCTACTTAATGATGAAGCTCGCGCAAATAGAAGGAGTGGTACTTGTCACTTAGCAAATTGCCGTACACCCGTGTTCTGAGTGTGTTAGACCACACGCTTTTTCTGTTCGACCCAAACTTCTATTAAGTTGTAAGTGTGTAGGAACGAAAGGTCGTTTTTTTTTCCATCTACATGAATTGCAGGATAAGTCAGAATTGGCGTTTGTTGTTTCCATAAACGATGCTATGAACTGTTTAAGGAGTGGTTGTAGGTGAAGAGTTCGTCGTTTCGACAACCTCGAAGTGAATAGTAAATGTTTGATTGTTTGATCGTTAAGTACCAATTTCAGCGTCATTTATGGGCACATAGCAAAAGTGATAGTTATTCAAGTGAGCGCAATACATTTGAAGTGATTCATGGTTGTGATGGATTCTTTTGGTTCAAATGAGACAAGAAGAACAGTTAAAGAGCAACGTGAATTTGATTTCTCACGTTATCCTAAACGTCGTATCGCACTAATGTTTCTATATTATGGGTGGCAATATGATGGCCTTGTACAACAGCAAGATACCTTGAATACGGTTAATCGATCATTTTTTCTTAAGTCACTAAACCAAAATGAATTGTTTTCAGTTTAGTAGTTTTTTGTTGATTCCACCATGATTAACAGCATTCTTCGATTTTAGAGAACGATAAATGTGCTTATTCAATTCGATAATTTCAGGTTGAAGAAGTCATAAAAAATGCTCTTCTGAAGGTAAGATTGATAGAATCATGGAAAACTTGTGAGTGGTCACGAAGTGGTCGCACTGATAAAGGGGTATCGGCGTTCAAGCAAATTGCGTCACTTGTTGTAAGGTTGACTTTATTTACTAGGTTTTAAAGCCATTAGGTAACGAATCGCAAGAAAATATAATTATTCCTTTGAGGAATCGGTATATCCTCACACAGTTTTTTTTATAGCAAACAGTTATTCAAGAAAAGATATCCATGTATTTAATGTTATAGATCAAATGATCCAAACGATGAGTTTGTGTTCTGGCCTGATGACAAAGCTGATGATAGCAGTATTGCAGTAAGTTCACGAATCTCACCACCATACAAAGAGTTATCATATACAAAAATGTTGAACGCTGTATTACCCAACAATATTCGTGTGCTTGCTTGGGCACCAATTAGCAGTGATTTCAGTGCAAGATTCTCATGTACGAAACGCGTTTACAAGTATGCATTCCCTCGAGCCGATTTCAACGTTTATGTGGGTTTTACTTTTTTTTTTTCATTTTCTTTACATGAAATCATATGGAATATTCCGCAACATTGTGGAATGCAGTTTGTCCGACACGTCTCATTCATATATGTTTTAGCTGAATATTACTAATAAAATATTGATACGTTTTTCGTAACGCTTGCCTTCTTCCGTTCCTTTTTTATTATTCTCCGTTCGAGATAGTTTCTGTATCTTAGTTCGTTAATTTTTTCAACACTTCACTCTTTATTTATCTGCAATTAATGGAATCGTTTTCCTTTCAGGCCATTCAAGAGGCATGTAAATTACTGGTCGGTGAACATGACTTCAGGAATTTTTGTCGTATCGATCTCAATAAAGCCCGAGTTGAAATGAGTTATGTGAGAAATGTTTTCGAGGCATACATTTCGATTGTTTGGTTTGTTTTCTAAAATATTCTGCTGTTCAATTCGCTTCATCATAATAAACGATAATAGTCTTGAAAATTTTAACCTCTAAATCAGCTTACCATTCAACTGGCTTTTCTTCGTAAACTGTGAGTTAAGAACATCATTTTAGCAACGATGGCAGCCGAGTGCGGGTCTATGAAAACAAAGAGTTTCAAAATTGTGGGCCGTATTCAATGGTTGAGTTTACGATGGTAGGGTCGGGTTTTTTGTGGCATCAAATCCGATGTATAATGGCGGTCATTTATGAAATTGGCAAAGAGAACGAGAAACCTGAGGTGAGCGTCGATTAATTAACTCGTTTAATTTTTCTCTTTGAATTGTGGTTTTGAAGGTGGATTTTGTTGATAATCATTGCAAGAATTGGTGGGAGATTTGTGAGAAAAAATATTGTGATATTGATTGGTGGAGAAGGATATTGAAGGTAATCTCAGAATTGCTCGATATCAAGTCAACTCCACGAAAACCAGCGTATGGACTGGTACCGCCGTCCCCGTTATGTCTTTTCGAGTGCAGTTATGGAAATGAGGATATCAGATGGATGTGGGATATTGATTGTGTACGCAAGATCAAATCTCAACTCCTAATCACGTTGGCAGATCTCCAGGCCAAGTTGTATTCAGCTTTCATCATTTACAGTGTATCATCGCAATTTGCGATTTCAAACTGTCAACTAGTGGATGCGTTGAGTAATGATTGATTGCAGTGTGACAGCACGGGATTGACGAAATTTAAGATTGGATGTTTGAGTAGATGATAGGCAATAAAAAGAGTTAATAAGCGAGCCCAGTCTCATTGTCGCGTGTCGAGTAATATGCCGCTGGGGTTGAAGATCAATTCGACGTGTAGTTTAAAGTATCGAAAATTATTTGCGACCTGCAGTTTGGACTTGAGAATATGTGCTTTTTGAAATGCATTAAATCACTTACGGCTTGATGCCACCAACGTAACTTTCAAAAAAAGAAACTGAGTTGAAAGCAGTAGAATCAGGATTAGTAGAATGGTTAATTGTAGTGTTCATAAGATTGTTAGTGGCATTAAAATTCATTTTGTTGATGATTCATTGTTTTATAGGTGTATGATTTTGCGCAATATGGTCACGGGTATCGAACAGATGGTACCCGAACTTGAAACGAATATCGAAGGTCTTGGTGACTTCATGAAACCGAATGGTCAGTGTGGTTCGTCATATACGAGATTAAAGGAGAGACCCACTTGTGATGCGCTTGAAGAGAAACGTGAAAAGGTTCGTGCTAAAGCAAAGAAATTTGAAGAGATGAAAATTGTCAAAAGACGGAAAGTTGATGATACTGAATCTACTCCATAGCTGATATTAACGTGTGCAACAACTCGTTCTGTAATAATGCAGCTATTTTTTGAAACTAGAAAATTTTGCGAAACAGCATCAAGCAAAAGCATTTGTGCATGAGTTGACGAAGGAGATGAAAACGATCAAGACCAAATTTATGCGTTATGTTTCATTCTTATTATGTAAGGTACCATTCGCCGTTGGTTTGTATCTTATATTCTTCTCATTTGGTCATATTCCACTAGTTGATTATGTTGTTACATGTTTTAATATTGTTTTCCGTTGTTTCCAGATATTTTACTGATTTTTATTATTATTGTTATAAGGTGCAGATTGTTGAATAAAATGTTGTTCTGAACGAAATTTTTGCTTAAGATTCCATAATCAAGGCGTTATAACTTATTCGCCATTGCCTGTTTTATGAGACAATTTCTTATTATGATCGGGAGAGTTTGGTCGTTTTATACTCATAGGAGTTGTGATTGTTTGTGATGGGTAACATCGTGTTGTCGCGGTGTGGTAAAACATTTTTGAAAACTTTTATCTCATTAGGGTATTGGAAGTGTTTAATTTTGATCAGTAATTATTGTTTGTTAATCATAACTTCCTATTGTTTTTGTTTCTTTCTAAACTGGTTTTATTTTTGTCTTGGAGTTTGTTACTTGGAAAAGCGTTTTATAATGTCGGACGCTTGTTTTTCGAACCCTTCTGTTTCAGGTATTTGGTGAAGATAAATTGTTACACCTTCGAACATGATTCTGGATGAGGTAGTTTTTTTAAATTGAAAATTAATTCGATTCATTTTAGTTAACGCAATCTTAACACCATAAGATACTGTATGGTGTGATATTTTATGTTGAGTTGAGTTGCGAAGGAATAAACGATACGTGGTAGTAAAAGCTGTGTTCAGGTTGAACGTTTTCGTGATGATCCAGAATGGGAAGATGTTGACCCAATACCGCTAAATGACGATGAACAAGCTGCCGTCAAGATATTAACGAGTGACGCATTCAATGATGCATTTATGTATCTTCGTGCAGTTATTCAGTCCAATGAAATGTCTGAACGTGCATTCAAACTTACCAATAGGTTTACTTTTACTTATCCATCATTGTCAATTATTATTTTTGCTTTTTGCACCGCCACCCTTCTCAAATTCTCCTTCCATTTTCTCTCATATGTATTTTCTATTTTAAAAATGTTATTTTTATGCTTATTGTTCATGACTTCGCACATCATTTTTCACTGAAATCCTTGTAATTTTTTCTTGATACAACTTTAAGCTAGTTTTTTTTTGTAGTTTAGATGGAGGTAATATTTGGTTTTGAAAGTAAATCGAATTATAGATGTATAGAACTTAATCCAGCCAATTATACGCTTTGGCTGTATCGAAGATCTCTTTTGAAGGCACTTGATAAGGATCTGAAAGAAGAATTGTCTTTCATTGAGGAAACAATCGAGGAGAATCCGAAAAATTATCAAGGTATTATCAGTTGTTCATGATTTGTGATGGGTTTAAACGTAATTTTCAAATGTATACTTTCAAGAAAGTGAATACATTCCATGTGTAGTATTTTGACGGTTCCGTTTAAGTATGGCATCATCTTCAAATTCTGATTGAATGGATGAACGATGCGGGTAATGAGTTGGCGTTTACGGCAAAAATGATCGAAGAAGACTCAAAAAATTATCATGCTTGGCAGTTGAGAGAGTGGATAGTTGGTCGGTTCAACTTATACGGTCAAAAGGAATTGGACTATGCAGTTGGCTTACTTCTCGAAGACGTACGAAATAATTCTGCGTGGAATTATCGGTTCTATATTCTGCAGAGTATGGATGCACTCAAGGTTCACTCATTTAATGTTCACTCAGTGTCTGTGATGTTCGTCTTTTTATAAAAATTCATCTTATCATAATTCCCACGTGTTCAGCTAGTGTATTCGTCTAATTCAAATTGAACAGTGTTTTCATGCAATCAATGAGGCACTGTTTCAGGATGAGGAAACGCTAAATCGTGAAATTTCAATGACTGAAGCATTTATAAAACAAGCGCCAAGCAATGAAAGTGCTTGGAACTATTTAGCTGGCATTTTACTCGATGTGAGTATTGTTTGTGTTTCATTCAATGGCTTTTTTCATCTATTCCCGATTTTACAGCCTTATACATTTTCATGCATATGCTATATTTGGTGTGTCGGTGTCATTTTGTAGTGCTGATCTCGGTCTCGAATCATTTATTTATTCATGGAAGGAATTAATCGACTTCGTTCCGTCAACAAAACGGATGGAAAGATGAAAACAGTCGCACAGTTGGACGGAGTAAGAAATGGAGTGAATTGTTTTATTACTTAATTGCAGAAAGGACTATCGACACGTGCTGATGTAACACAGTTTTGTGAAGATTTGATGAAACAAAGCCGTTCTCCGTTATGTCTTAGTTTTGTCGTTGATTCCTTGATTGAACTCATCGAAAAACAAGTCAGTCCGAAGGTACGTTTCGTTGGTTTGTATGGGAATATCTCGTTCATATTTTCCCGTTTCTCGATGTGCACGCATTTTGAACTGTTGTGATAGCTGCAAGCCGTTCTCGGAATACGTTTTTGTTTTGGCTATCGCTGATTATAATTCGGAATGGTATTTTGCCTCGGTAAATATTAACAACAGCCATATTGTTGATATAGCAGCGATTATAATTATTACGTGAGCTGTCGCCAAAATATGTGAATAAAATAATCTTTATAAGGGCAGAGAATATTTGCTCTGTTAATGATGCACTCAAACTGATCAGCTATTATGTTGAAGGAAAATGGAGAACGAGCTCTCGAACTGATTAAGGAGCTGAAAGAAATGGATCCAATACGTCGCGGCTATTATGATTATCAACAAAAATTAATATCGAATTTGATGGCGAAATGTTGATTTTGAACGATTTTGCATTCTCTAGAGCTCGGTGTTTCGTACGCTTCGAAGCTCCGTTACCCCCGTCGATGATCTAGCAGGTCATCACTGTCCCCCTTCCCCCCTCCCAATTAAGGAATTTATCTTTTCAGTGCATAATCAGAAATAAATCGAAAATCGGTCCGGAATATTCTCGGTGGCTTGAAAGGAATTTTCTGGAACGAAATAAATATTTTCAGAATTTTATTTATCAATTGCAAAAGGGATATGAACCTCAGCGAAAAGCAATGGAAAAATCATTCATCAGCGGTGGAAAAATTGAAATTTATCAGCAAGTTCATTTGTGCCCCAAATTATCCCCATGGGGTAATTTACAATTTCATATGAAGTTTTTATCGTCATTTGTTAATTGCTTCTTTCGATTATCGGTCGTTTGAATTCGAAAATTTATGCAGAAAATCGTCAATATATTCGATGCATATTTATTAAACAGAGTCCGTTCACCGTTTGTCAAATGCGTTAATGGTTATAAGATTATAATTTGAATGAAGTATGACATGAATGTACAACCATGCATTACAGGTATTAGTTACAGTGGGCAACTTTCATGTGTGTTTTTTTTTGTAGTCACGAATTGTTTAGCGGGGATGTGAATGATAATCGATGATTGGTTGTGCCTATTCTTCATTCCGGAATCAGTGTGCGCTGCTGTTGTTATTATTAGTATTGAAATTATTATTGTTATTAATTTTTACGATATCTCGGTTTAATATTTGACGTACATTCTTGTGAACGTTGAATAATGTTATTGGTGGGTTGCGTCCTTTTTTTTGAATATTGATTTAACGGATTGTGAACAAGTATTGCACATTAATAATAAAGTTAGTGTTATAGAGGAATTATCGTTTTCATTGAAGGTTTCAACTTGATTGGTTTATGAACCGTTCAGCTATCCTTTCATGAATGTTTTGATTACATATGCTGATTTCACTTGATCTGTGTTGATGATCACACTTCAACTTCGAATCACGTCCTCTGCGAAACATTTGTATCGTCGAAAAAATTTGAAGAAACAGCTTTTCACCAGTAGTAGTGGTGTGTCCCTGAAATGTTTCATTCGATTATAGGTAAACTGCAGAATGTCGCGTCGAAAACTGGAAGTGCTTGGTTTCTCATCGGATAGCATCGATTATGAAGGTAATTCAAGCGTTCTTCAAAGCTTACATTCTAAAATTTGTTCTTGAAAATGAGATTCTAACTAACGCTTGTGGTTGTTGTTCGTCAGCTAAACGGCTGCACCGTTCTAGCCGGATTGTTACTGGGAAAATTGATTTGTGCAAAGAATAGCCGATGTTATGTTTTGCATTGATGTGTTTGCGTATAATTGCGGCACTGTACGAGATTCGTTTTTGTGTGAAACGAACAAGAATTAATTTGTTGATGAATTTACTTCGTTCAAAGATGCGGCTCAAGTGCATGAATTGATCGATTGGTTGGAAGATCATCACATCCGTCATTATAAACCTGAACATCGGAGCGCTCTTCGTGCAGTCGACCTTGACATATGGCAACCGGCTATGGAGAAGGTTGGTAGTGTAAGTTCGCTTTAATTGAACGCTTGATGTTTTTTAAGGAATAATATCAATTGATTAGAATTATTTCAACTAATTATGCGAATTATTGTATGCCTGGTTTGGAGCATTGTATTGATATTGGCACATCGTATTGCTGATGATTTTTACATGTGTTTTATCATGAATAGATGAAGACTGTTTTCATTACTAATGTAAATTTTCAGTATTTAGCTGAGTTGGGTTGTTTATTAAAATTGGGTGAAACACCGCTAAAGGAGATTATCGATTGGCTTCTTGATTACGCGATCGCTTTGCAGTACGCCTCAAACAGTGAGCAGGCATTGCAATATTACTCGAATTGTTTTTCAGTAATATTTTTCTCTTCAGTAATTGCTCTTTTGTTGTATGCCTATAGATTTTGTCACTAAAAGAGGTCAAATTTCATAATGAAAGTTAAATCTATCATTTTTCATGTTTCATAAAACTATAGTAAGAAAACGTTATCAAAAGTGATATCGCAAAAATATTGCTTTTTTCTAGAAGAAGCACATAATTTAACGTCGAAATCGCTGGCTGAAATGCGAGAAGAACGCTACCATCGACAAAAAGCTAGCGACCCACTGAGCAATCTGGATTGTTCGTTCCTTTCTCGATTTCTTACAAGTCTTCTTCTTTAAATCAGTTATAATACTATTCGCTGCTTCGATATAAATCAGTTTAGTCCAAAGCGAGGCGGCGAAAAAAGGTATCGAGAGTCTGCGATCGGTGTTGGGCATTGCGACCTATCCAGATCCAGATGTTTTGCTGAACGCTTCGTGCAAGGTGAGATTACGGTGCTTTATTTCATTTATTTGACTCATCATGTTATTATGCACCCTCTTGGCAGTCAACAGTTTCGTCTTCATTTTTTTTTTTTTGTTTTGATAATTCAAATTTAATCTGCGGAAATTGTTTAATCCCTTGTCGTGATTGTATATCATGTTTTGCAGTATTGCAACAACAAGGCAATTCCGTTATGACATATTTTTTTCCTTTAGAATTTCGGGAGGAAACGGGCGAACTCTCGATAACAAAAGTGAAGTGTTTTCTTTTTTTTTAGCAAACTCACGTAATCAGCCAAAATGAACCTTTTTATTGACTGATTTCAGTTCATAGTCGTAAATCTAACGGATGATGCGATCGATGAGTCGAATAAAGCTAATAAGGCTGGCGCTCCTCAGGTTTTTATCTCACATTCCTTGGTTTTTTGTTCGTTATGAATTCACGCCGACTGATAGTCAGTTGAATATGAATAGCAAACTGTGTTAAGAAGGTGAGCTTAATTCAGGCGATGACCATGCAACTGAGTCGTTTCGATTTGGGTATGCTTTCGAGTAAAGACGGAGGTGTGGATGCAGCAGTTCGTGCGCTTCGGTTGAATCACTTGGAAAACCTTAGAGAAGTGAGTCTTTTAGTATTTTGTATATAATAGTCAATAATGAATGATTATAAACGCTACTTTATAATAGGTACAAACAGAAATCAACGAGGCAATTGTAGCCGTGCAGGAGTTGACAGCAGATCCAAAAACAGATAAACGACTGGGCAAAGTTGGTTTCTAGACATATCTTTATCAGTGAGTCAGTCTGAAGGAACCGACTTGATAGTATGTTGATTGTACACAGTCATAATTCATTTGAAAGCAGTCTGATGCTGCAGTTTACATAATAAATGCTGTGAATGTTAGCTTTAATTCATGCTGTCTCCTTTGTGCATTTTAAATTAGATGACTTGTAAGGTGCGAGGTTCATGTCTCGGTTTTGAAATCTGTTTAGATATGAAACTAAAGGTTGAATTGTGGGTAATTGAATCCAAACCTGCTTTAAAACACTATAAAATTTATACTTGTCAATTCTCACTTCAATGTTTGTTGTTAATTATTCGTATATTCAAGAAATTAGTCCACTTATAAGGATTCCATTGTATTTCCTTACTAACTGATAGTGCTTGTCAAATGAAGAAAGGAAATATTTCGAAGGTTGTATCATTTCGTCGTTTCTGCTTTAAAATTTAAGTTTTTCGTTGAAGTTGGTTAATAGAAGCTCGAATGTTCGGATGCTTCATTTCACAGTTTTTGAAATTTCTACACGAAGATTTTCATTCTGAATAAATTCATCACTTATGGCTGTAATCGTTGAATGCTTAAATTGAAGCAGTCTTCTGTGATGTCATCTTGTTCACATCAAACAGCACCTGTTCTATCTACTTTTGTTTGTTTCTTTTCGAGAATCATTTCAAATTATTGGGTAACATCATTCGGTTATCGTGCTATGCTTTTGAAGTGTAAACATTTGTTGATGAACTTGGCGGCACAACCGTTCCATATTGCTGTCATAGTTCAATTGATGTGTGCTAAATTTATCATTTTCTTTCTTTCTCGGTTTCACAAATTCTGTTATTGAGTTGTGTTGCTAGTGTCTAACTGTCAATACTCATATTGCTGTGACGGTATTGTTTTGCGCAATAAAATTTTCATCAGGCTCATTCATCATTGACGATTGAGTAGCATTTACTTTGCTGTAATACATGATTACATTGTAAAACTGTGAAATTGGTTTTCCTTGTGTTTCTGATTTTAAAAAAAGGAATTTTGTTTCGAAAAGATGACTTTTTGTGATTAAGTCTCCAGCCGCCCAATGGGAACACCAGAAACGAGACAGCGGGCAAATATCCTGATAACTGGATCACCAGGTACTGGAAAGACGACGTTAGGTCAAATGCTGGCCGAGCGACTCGGTTTGTATTCACACTGATAGACATGTTATCTCTTCTTTTTTGGCGATAAATCTGCGAATAATTTCGGAATTGATAACGTGAAAGTGTCCACTTTCAAACTACACCATTTGAGTAGTGTGCGTTGCTGATCGTGTAGCATCTGTATCAAGCATGTTCAGTGGTCTGGTTGATGTTCATGCAGTTTCGATGAACTAGTTGTCGCTGAAATTTGAGGTTTCGATTTCATTGAATGCGGTAAGGAAGTACGAGAACATGAACTCTATTCTGGTTATGACGATGAACTGAAGTGCCATATCCTCGATGAGGATAAACTTCTTGATCATATAGAAGTGCGTGAGCTTATCGATTATTTTTTTGCACTGTACAACTTTTCAGTTGCAATGAATATGTGGTTATTTCTTACATTGTGAGGCGATTTCTCAATCCTACGAGAAACTTTATTTAAAGGATGCTTTCCTTGACATTTCGTCACCGGATACGACCAGAATTTTCACGTTCTAGTGATCAGTAACATTCAATGTTGCGGTGTAATATATTCATAGTATTATAATACTGTACTAAGCTCCATCTTAGCACAAAGAATTTTATTCACTGTTGAAGTTTTCGAGGAAATAAATTTATGGTTGTGAAAAAGATATTTGAAAATGAAGTAAAAGCAGTTATAAGGTGTTAATTTGAGGATAGATTGAATGACGACCGAGGTGGATGTATTGTTGACTATCACGGTTGTGATTTCTTTCCCGAAAGGTGGTTTGACATCGTTGTCGTGTTGAGATGCAATAATACAATTTTATACGACCGATTGGCAGCCAGAGGTTACAGTGACAAAAAAATACGAGAGAATGTCGAATGTGAAATTTTTGGATCTTTGCTTGATGAGGCGCGTGATGCGTATAAAGTTAGACTTTATCCTTATCTATTTCTTATTTTCAGCGTTGATCTTTTGTAGTTTTATTTCAGTTAGTTCAATGAAGTGCCAGACAAGGTGCTTGATTGGGAATTAGTCAGGTGATGTTCACGTTGATAATGCTCATTTTAAAGGAGGAATTGATCCATGAATTACCGAGTGAAACGTCATCGCAAATGAATGAGAATGTGGAGCGAATCGCGGAATTGGCTTTATCGTTTAAAGCAAAGTAGCATTACTCATTGACGTTCATTGATTTTTTATGTTACTCATGCATGAATAAAACTTATTCAGATCAATTCTCGTGGCGTGTGAATACATTTCAACGTTGTTTTTCTTCGATGTTTCATTACCTCACATCGTTTGTAACATATTTGCCTCATTTCGATCGCTAGTATTCCGTGAGATTATAATTTCGATTACTTCCTCTTCGTAACAACATAGTCGAATTTACTGATCTCATTAAAACGATGAAGTAATCGTGTTCAGAGTTTGCAGTTTTTAAAAATGTGTAAAATGTGGGAAAAGATACGGTATGGTGTTCGATGGAAGCCTTCAGAGCGATTAGCATTAGCGAATAGAGGTTTGGATCTGAGGAACGTGAAATCAATAAGTATTTCGATGGATCCGTTTTATCGAGGATGTGGGTCAATTCGGTAACTATTCATCCGTATTGATCAGTATTTTTGAATCATTTTGCTCGATTTTTAGTCTTTTCGAATTTTTACACAATATTTAAACCTTCCTAAAAAGATGTCATTGTTTAAATGGAGTAATTTGTTTTTGAATTTTCTTTACATAATGGAAGTTTATTCAAATCTTTATTGATTGTATTCTTGAAATTTTACCCAAGTGCTCTCTCAAAGTTAGCTGTCCATGCGAAGTCTTCTTATTCGACGCAGTCATTGTTCAATGCTTAAAAGAAAATCCACGAAACAATTTAACTTACTCTCAGTTCGTATGTTTTGTCGTCGTTTCGGCTCATGCAGGAAATGATATCATTGCGTTGTCTTCAGTGGTACTGCATACAGTAGTTTCTATTTTTTTCGTTAATTTTTGAATCAACCATCCACTTTTGTGTTTCTTTCTGTACGTTATAAGCTTGTCGTTCATTGATGAATTTCTTCTTTCAAGCGAATTCTGGTTCAACATAATGGCTCCGCGAGTTCGTCTGACGAATCCACAGCTCAAAATTAATGCGGCAATTCGAAATGATCGAAAACCGCCGTTGTTTTGTGCTCATCTGAGTGAGCCATTCTTCTTTCATTCCTGCTAATTATTTAGTATTTAGTTTATTTCTGCTATGAATTGTTGAATGTTTTTGTTACGAATGAACCGATAAATTAATGACACTTGAGTTGAAGTTGGAGATAAGCTCATATGAAGTGCTTGTGTGCTTTTAATAAATGCAGTTGAGATAATTGCAGATAATGGTCACAAAATTGTTTTCAAAACAGATGGAATGCAGTCATTTGACGTTGTAATGCAATTTAATCGACTTCTTGGTAACAAAGAATTTGGCAAAGCTGGTGTTAGACGACAGGATTCATCCAAATGAAATCAATGTTTTTTGTTAAAGCGACTTTTACCGTTCATTTTCCTCATGTTGATGGTCGATCACTTGAAGCAAACTGTTCATGCTAAATGACTAGGCACTTGTCTATGTGGGCATTATACGGTGTAAGATAATTGTAGGTTAATCATTATAAGAAATTTGTGGTTATTATGGAATGCTTGTCGCAATCACCATTGAAAATAGTTGTCGTATCGATACCACTTTGATTTCGAATGATCTGATCCAATACCACCGTTGATTCGTTCCACTTTCTCAAAAATGTAATTCATCTTGTGTCTTCCATTTTCTATTGCATCAATTAGAACATTTTATGCTTATGATGTGATAGCAAGTGATTTAAATAAACCATTTTTGCATTTGCGCTCAGAATTGTTCAGTTATTGAATTTGATCAAAAATCTTTGTTCCTTCATAACGTGAACGACCAAAACAATCGGTTTGGATGGAGTGCTCGATATTCATTGCTTTTACTGAATGAATTTAGAAATAATCCATTGCTGTCTCAGTTTCGTGAAATGAATATCGTTGGCGATTGGCATTAGAAACAGCATAGAGAAAATATTGTGCCAGAATGCCTGATAATATAAGCAACTGTCCGAACGTGGTCAAACATTTAGTCTAACGAACATTTCATGGATATTTCTCACGTCATTATGACTGATGAACGCACCAAAAATGAATTAAACCCATTCCATTCAGCATCGAGTGGCTGACAGCTTAAATCAGCAATCGCCGTCAAACAAAAGATCCCGTAGGATGAAGGTGTCCTTAGCAAGCATACAGGCGAATATATAATGCATACGATAATTATTGCACTGCAGTGATGGCATCAAATTGCCGTTATTTTGTTGTTTTGAAAAACTGCATTTTACGAGAAAGCAGTGGTGAGATGGATAATTTTGGAAATGCATCGATCACATCCCTCATTTTCTCTTCCGTTCTTTTTCATCTCAATAACAACCGCACTTGAATACAACACGACAATCGAATCGTCGTCGTTTATAAACGACCCAAATCTTCACTCGTATTTATTCATGTACGTTTCCTTTCGAAAAACTCATAACATTCGTTTTGAATAGTCGTCTCCAATGATCGAATTCAACGAAAGGTGATTTCGATAACATTCTTTTATTAATTGTAATTACGATAATCGCATCGCATTCAAAAAGAACTTTCAGTTGTAGTTCTTAACTGTATCGCTTTTGTGTGTGTGACACTTTACTTCGTCTTTCCTTACTTTTTGCACATTTATCAACAACGTGAAACTTTCTACATGTGCACTTAGTCAATTGAAACAGTGAAACTTATTGTCAGTTTTTAAAATGCCGCAAATTTCATGAAAGCATAACTGCTGAACGAAGTTAATAGAATTTACAACTCCGAAAATAAATTCATGTAACTCTCGCAGAACGTATGAATTACTGTTAGCTGCACTTCAAAAATTACTTTCAGTAACGGAATTCCAATCATAAAGTATTTTAGCAATCAATTAAAAACCAAACAAAAAAGATCCAAATTCTTCGGTAATGACTTCTAACGAATTTTTCATCTTGAAACGCTCATGTTCAATCGAAATCCGGAATGTGCATTAGTGATTGAGTGAATCAACAATCTGAATGGTTTTTCTGCGCATACAAATGCGATCTCTTCTTATCTCTTGTGATCTATCTCTCGTTTTGAGTAGTCGAAAATCATCGATTCTTCAGTTTTAAACCCAAACTAATCTGTCAATTGCATCTTTGCCCAATATAAAGCAAATACGGGTCATTCACTCAATTGAAACAAACGCTTTGCAAGTAAAAATAACAATGGAAATGACAAAGTTGGTTCAGTTATGAAAACGTACAAATTTTTTCATCGGTGAGTGCAATCTATATGCATAGTACAATGAAATAGCTGATTCGAAATAATGACTGATGACATTGTCAGTGTCTAGTCTTTATTTTAGATGGCAACGCTGACCACTCTTAGAACGACATGAATAGCACTTATCTGTTCGATTTATCTTTCTTTGTTTTGTTGCTCGATCGTGAATTGCATTCTGAATCAATCACTTCATTGTTTTAAACGGAATAAAATGATAAGGTTTTTGATAAGTGAGATAAATTGTTTGAAGTGAATCAGAGATGCGTTTGGCGAGTGTTCATTGCGTTCGGATGTTTTGTATTGCACTAGTTGAAATGTATGCAGTCAGTAAAAATTTCTATTTGAATGAATATTTGCAGCAAAATGTCTCCAGTTTTGTTGTTCATTCTGTGTTTCATTCCGAAACTTTGCTATACTCATGTGATGCTAACATTTCCGCGAGGACGAAGTTTACCTCTTGATTTTCTCGACACAACCAGAACCTCAGGACCATGTGGAGTTCCACGACCCAGCTCTCGTAGGCTATTAATCTCTTTCTATGGAACCGAAGAACTCCTCATGAAAAGAATGGTGCTGAAGAAGTATCAGCGAAATTTTAGATAATTGTGACAATTTATTAGCTTTTTATTTAGCATTGTTTTTGTGATATTGTGCAAATCTGGATGATTCGCTTTCACATTACATCCTCCATTTCCACATACAGACGTTCAATTTGTACTGAAAAGAAAATCGGCAATCAGAAGTGACTTCAAAAATACCTCCTCTCAGAATAGAACAACTAAAGATTAAGAATCAATTATTTTCAGCACAGTATACTAATCTGTATACCAATCAGACGTACAATATTACTTGGCGATTGCAAAATCCCCACCAGGTGAATTAATTCGATATTGATAATGAATGCAAATGATTTCTGCAATTCCTCAACTTATAACTTCTTCAAATTTCATGCAGTCTTCGATTGCAGTGCGACTTTTTCCAATTCATTGACTATGCTTTAGCAAGGAAATAAAAGCCTGGCTTGTCAATGGCATGAATCAAGCTTACTAAAACGAAAGAATATGAAAAAAATTCTTCTGAGAGTAAAAAACCAGAATGAGCCTAATTTGTTTCTCAGGGTGGATATCGGATCACGCTCTTAGATGAAAAAGGTGAACCAGTTGAGCAGCTGATGCCAACCAGTGGAACCGGTTACGCTGGTGACGAAGATCAGACGTAAGAAGAGATGATTCATTCATTCTAGTGATGACTATGCTTATTTAATTTCAGAGCACAAAGTCAAGTGGTTCGCATCACAAAAGCATGCAATCACTGTACAATTCAACTTCTACGACAGGCGCTGGAATGGGGCGATTCATATTCATTTCATGCGTGCTCTGACGTCAATGTTGTGGATGAGACACCGAACGATCTGCAAAAATGTTCTGAGAATGGTGACTATGAAAATGGAAAATGTGTATGCAAACACTTATTCTCAGGAGATATTTGCCAGTATAAAGGTTTAAGAATTCGTGATTCTGGTCGTTAACAGTAGGAAATGAATATTCATAGTACACATCTCAACAGGTTCATCGAAACGTTAACAACGATGATCTTATCATATTTCAAGTCTATTCGGGCATCCCTGTTTGATTGCAGCGTCTGTTTCGAATATTAAAAAAACCGAGATTGGATGAATGACAGAAATTGCAAATTATTGTTCATCCGTTTTGTTTGGAAAGAATTAATTCTAATATAACTGGTGATGAGGTAGAAGAACAATCAGTTTGCGAAATGCCTACCATTTCACAGTAAATATTGGCATAGTTCAAACACAACACCGAAGTCATCTAAATTTTTAAAAGCAACTCATTGAACATTTAAACTTCCTTTCAGACGATTGTACATCTGATGAAGATTGTTTGAATAATGGCAAATGCGTGAATGAACCAACAGCATTAGTACATAAAACGTGCTTTTGCTCATTTGGATTCTTTGGCAGAAACTGTGATCGAAGTTAGTTTATTTATGAGCTTGTTTGATATGATGCTGAAGGAATGTGCCCAACCACTATTATCCGTATTCGATTGTTAGAAATGAAGTACACAATCTCTTTAAGAGCCATAATATTGAACGAGTCGATACATTTTTTCAATTCAATTCGGAGTGATTCGTTTCAATGTTTATAGCGTTCGATTGGAAACCAGATCATGATGAATGCTTCAATTATGATTATCCAATCAATAAGACAAGGTTCTCGAAATATGGTCTCTTCAATGAACAGTGCTTCAAAATGACTTCCGTGAATGAGGACGATAGAATCTATTCGAGAGTAGTTGCAGTATGTCAAATCAAATTACACGTGTTCCTCAGTTATGACTGTCTGCCGTAATTATTCCCACCTCTCCTTGGCCAAAATATTCAGACTATTCTGATTATTTCAGTCACTTCCTTCCAGAGTTGCTTCTCTATCTGAATCCACTAATTTTAAACCACAAAATTTTCATGCACTTGAAGAAGCTCCGTTCAAAATGCGACATGATTGTTTTATTTCTCATTGTTCAGCAAGGTTGAGTGAGGTTACCTTGCCAACCAATGGGTCTATTTATGCAGTAATTATTAGGATGAGGTAGAGATCATCGTTGATTACATTGGCACAACTTGGGTCGGGGTTGGATGGCGTCCGGTCGATATCGACCCATCTTGTCGTCTGTTTCCGGACCTTGAACATCTTCGTAGAAGGCGAAATCCTGCTGAATCTGTATCCAGTGATGAAGATGAACCTCTTCAACCCGTTCAAGCACCAAAGAAGCCAGAAAATAATGGATTCCGTGAGACTGTTCGAAACTTTTAAGTCGAGATACTGCAGTTTACATTATTACGAGCAAAATACATCCTCAAATTCTCGTTTAGTTTCATAAGACAGCAATAGCATATTTCAGTTGAGCGTGAACTGCAAGCCCCGCTACATCCAATGGATTGCACCGATGTTATAATTGGCTCGGTCGTTGACGGTCGATCACGAATCAATGACATGTATACTAGAGATAGATCTACCCCGATCATCGATACACTGTAAGTTCCGTCAATGTCAACAGTCTCATGCCATCATCTACAGATAGGCACCAGAGCACTTGCTCAATCTTCTTTTACATAGGAAGATTAAGTTGTTCAGTTTTCAGTTGCGGTTTTCCGTAAAATTCATCGTATATTCAGTCATATTGATCACAAATAATAAAATGATTTCAAAAGTGAAATCGAAATCAATTACTAGAATAATCTCGTTCATTCTTTCGTCATAGCTCTCATTTGAAGTACTGTTTGAAAAAAGTTGTTGTGGTCTCGAGGTTGGTTGTGCTGCGTCATGAAAGATTCATTATTTAGCTTTATTTGGTGCAACAAGCGATATTAGCCCACACACATAGTATTCCCGTGTTTTTGATTTTATACGAATAATCGCTGTGGTACTTCGCTGTGAAAGCAGTGATGGCAAAGTTACCCTTTATGTTTAGAAGTAATGTAAAAATTGTTTAATTTCCATTCTATTTAAGAATCATTGTTTAGAAAGCTTGTTTTTTTTTCAAGTATCAAAATGAAATTCAAAAGCAAAAGCGTTAGGAAGTTCCACAATAAAATCTGCAGATGCATGGCAACATTAAAATTTCATACGTCTTTATAAAAGCATTTGGGTGAATTTAAACTTTATTAGCCAGAACTAGGCTCAGATTTTGGTTCAGGCTCACCGTTGGGCCAAGGTTGATGTGAGTTTACTCTTCGGTTTAGGCTTTTTTTACATGTTCGCATAAAGGTAAGTGGTCTACAAACTGTGCATCTATGTGCACATTTTGTCGTGACTCATCTTAATCAAAGCATGAGCATACTAACTTTTGATTTGGGCTATTTAAAAGTTCAATTAAAAATATAAACAATTTGAGAGGTTCAATGTTTTATGGTTTGACGTTTTGAAAATTTAAAAGATTCGATTTAACCGTCTTTTTTCTAAAAGGCAGTCTAAGTTACTGTTTCCTATCACTCTCTGGAACACTGGGCCGTTTCCTCCGTCCTTCAACTCTCTACTTTCTGGCATCGTTTTTTTTCTACAGATCTCCGCCCAATTATTGAAGAAACTGCTCAGCGTTTTATATCGCTACTTTTCATATTCAAATAATGTGAAATTAACATTGTTCACTTCTTCACGTGACGGCAAAACCCTATCTGAATGCTTCATTAGTGCACAAATGTAACTTTTAGTCTGGATGGAGAAGAGTCATTCTCAGCTGCATACGGTATCGAACAAGACGGCAGAACAATCATTATGTTCAGAAGAAGTATTGCAGGTGATTCCCTTAACCGATTCCACTCTTTTAGTTCACTATTATTAAGAGTTAAATTGATGCGCATTTGATAAGCAGTCTGAAGTATATTTCATTGTTGGAACGGCATTGACGTATTATCGAGTTAATACAGAGGTAATTACTTTTTTTAAGTTCAATTCTCATTGCAGAAATCGAACCATCAGATCATCCACTTGGTCCAGGCGAATTGTTTGTGATCTATGCAAAAGGCCAAACGAGTGAATCATTCAGCCATTACCCAAAATCAGCACTCGAAACTGGCAATTACAGTGACCACGACTTTTATAAAATCGATCAATTACGATATCATGGATGTGAGTACCACTCTGTTGATTCATTTTATCCTCCTAAGTATTAAACTATCTCTTGGATAAATTCAGGAAATCAGTTGAACTTCAAAAAATGAATGAAGTCCTAAACTAAAGCAGTATCTATAAACGTTCCCGAAGTTATTCTTTATCTTGTGCGGGAAGAACATACAGAAATAAATTGTTGGGTTACAGCATAAAACTCGCCCCATCATACTCTGTTTTAAGCTAAAAATCGAGGCGTCAAAAGGATTGAATTTGTCACACTTAAAGAACGCCCACAAACAGTACGACCACAACTGCATCACAGAATTCAATCGACAGTTTCCGATTCGATATTTCAACCAGAAACCGAAATGAACTCTCACTCAACCTCTGTACCGAAAGGTGAACCACAACCTGGAACAAACGCATCACCTGAGCCAGAGGCGACTCAAGTTGTGGAACCTGGGTTACAGCTGGAACCGTTGGCTGAGCCCGAGCCTGGTTCACAACCAGAACCATCTGCTGGGCCCGAGCCTGGTCCACAACCAGAACCATCTGCTGAGCCTGAGCCCGGTTCAAGACCGGAACCTTCTCCTGAGTCTGAAGGAAGAGAGACTTTAGAAGATGTTTCTAAAGAAGATCCGTTGGCAGAGCCAGAACCAGAACCTCAACCAGAACCAAACAACCCAGCCTCCAGCAACGAAATGAGCGCAGCTTCTGACGGAACTCATGGTGAACACAAAACATCGAAATACGATTCTTCGCTTCATCTCGGTTCTTCGGCTTCAAAGCCGTTCACAACTTCAGTGATTTTAATTGCGGCCTTAATTTATGTCCTATGACAATCATAACTTATATATAAATAGCGCCTCACACATGTTTATTAATCATTAATATTATATCGGAAATTAGCAGTTCACCTTTTGAGGATCTTTGAAGCACCACTTTCAAACCTGCAACACATTGTAAACAGGGAAGGATTAAGAAACTCCGTATCCAAAACGCTCTTTGCTGCATGTTTTCATTGCATTTCGCCACTATGGTTAGTAATAGCTGCGATGCCATGAACGATTGACTCGGGATGAGTCAGGCTAATCATCACTCGAATGTGACGTGAAACTGAGCTTAGATACTTGCTCACAGAGAGCTGAGATTAATCATGTCTATAGTGAACTCTCATCAGCATTTAGTCACAACGGAGTGTGGAGGAGAGTCAGGCTATTATGTATTCGAAGAGAGCTAACTCACTCATGCATGAGGCAACCAACATTCGTTTCATAATTATCGATCGATTCTTATATTTTTCGCATTCAAGTTTACACAACGAATTCGGTTTCTTACCAAAATGTAGGAGATTTTTACTAAAGTTGGAGATACTAAATTGGAGTAGCGTTTCTAAAATGCCGAGCATGTTTCAATAGCGAGTTTCATAACAGTCATGAACGGAAGACAAAACAGCACTGATAACGAAAGAACGAACAAGAGTGATGACATTCTTGTTCACCGTTTTCTGAGAGAGAAAACTGATGTGGTGCTATTATGAAATGATTGCCATTGGGTGATAAACAACAAATATTACGGCATATCAACTGCAATGTGAATGATTGGTATGCAATTCAGGATGAGTATATCATCGAAATTGTTTAATGTGCCTTCTTATCAAATTACACTATACCGGCATTTTCCAAACTATAAATCCTGGGATCGAGATTCAAAAGTTAGGATTCCGGAATCCCATGCAAACAATAACTTCAAGATTTATCAGTCAACGAAATGTAACAGCGGAAAGAAGTTACGTGCGTAATCTTCATAGTCGCCACTAGATGCGTGCACCTAAATTGTAAGTATTAGAGCATTATTCTCAGACGCAGCACCGTCCAAGCATCATACCTATATAAACGGTGGTCATGGTCCCTGTAATTTCGTTGATGAAGACATCATGAAGACGTTATGTCCGGCTAGGTTTGAATTTTCGAGGTGTACCGAATTTTTTTTTGAAGAAATTCATAAATATTTGTGTGCAGCAGGTTTCAAAAGAAAAATTGTAGTGGTGGGTTGATGAAGGAGGAAAGTGATTCAAGAGGAATAGATTGGTGGAAAGAATGTTAAAGAGGGAATGTGAGGTACGAAGAGCAGTTCCGAAAAGAATGAGAAGGCTGAAAAGAGGAGGGTTAGGGGTGTAACAGAGCAGTACCACTAAATATGGATTGCTGGTTTGTGATAGTAATATGTAGTAGGATTATCGACGGTTATTTGTTAGTCATTCAAAACGAAAACTACATAGTCGCAGCAGTGTGCGGTGCAGCGCATTCGTGTGAGCGATCGACTTCGTATGTGATTTTACTTCAATAATTGGCTACACTATAGAAATGTAGCAGTTAGTGTACACAATGCGCTATGAATGCTTTTTTTACGTCGAGTAGAAACACTATCAAAATCGAAACACTACTTTGAAACGCGTTCATTCTATGATTGAATTTTTTGAAGACTTCTTTACTATTGTTTTAACACTTCACCTCTCTCTTCAATCTATGAACAATTCAATGTTCATTCCCACTAATTTTTACTCATTTCGGAGACGCGCACATCTCGAGCGCAATATTCATTTTAAATGATACTGTTGTATTATTCAAACTAGTTCATCTTTCTTTTTGTTCTTTCGGTTTATGATAACATCTGTTTGAGTGCAAATGTCCTAAAAGGATGAATGGATTCCATATAATGTTACGAAAAGAGGTGCGGAGAGATGAATATTTATTTAAGATGAGCTGAGCGATACCATATGGTTGTTGCTATGGTGATTGTTTATAACGAATCCGCTTACCAACTTAGTTTCAAACAACAAACCTAGACGTCATATTGTTTAGAATATAAATTTGCTCTTACCAAATTGAAACGACGAAATTTTTGCAAACGAAGAAAAATATTTCTCCGATTGTGAAAGCACAGAACTAACAGATGTGAGCATGAATAATGATTAATTTTCATTAGCATTAGTTTACAATCGTTGTTCCTCTCTTCGTGTTGTTCCTCTTCATTTAGAACCGATGAAGTTAAACACCTTCCAGCTAATGAATATGATTTTCAGATCAAGTCAGTCGCATGAATTCAATTTAATTAAATCTCATTTCCTCAAAAGCGAAATGCGATCTTGGTAATAAGTGCTCTCTTCAGCGTATCCTTGAAATCTATTCAGTTGTTTCGATTCTACCAAAACAACTCCACTGTCTCTTCGCTCGTTCCGTTATTCAGGGAGTATTCCTTTATTCAATTCCATTTCATGTCATTCGTTCTCTTCACAACACTTTCAAAGCGTGTCCTCGAAATACTGCAATGAAATATGAGAGCAACAAGTCATCATTCATTCCAATTAAAATAATCGAGTTCTTCATTGTCTTTTTTCGAGTGTATGATCAATGTGATGACTACAATAACGGATTTCTCAGATGCAATTCAGATCAATGTGTAATTTAAAAATTTACTGATTTTGTGATTATTCGAAAATTGTTTCTAAGAATCTTCGGTAAATCAATAGAAATTCTCATTCATTGATAAAAACGAAAAGAGCGATAAATCATCCGAATGAGTTGTTTCACGTAACAACTGCACAGCATCGTTTGATTTTCCCGTCATTATTCTGACTAATTCATTGAAATTATACCCACACTCATCATCCTTGAAATTCGAAGTCAGCTAGAAATTAGTTCGTTATCTTGATCATTAAGAGTGGTTCTAACGTAGTTGACTGCATGCACTCAAAGACGAAGAAGTGGATATGAATGGATAAATAGGAAGTAGATTTGGATATGTAGGTTTGGTTCGTTGATCGAATTAGGCATTGCATTTACTGAAAAAGCTGTTTATCTATTGCAATAACGAAACAATTACAGTTTACAATTCGGATGATCGTTAATATCAATGTTTTTTTAATGGGTCTAGCTAATTCAGAAAGAATTTCAGAGGAGTTGATAGCGGAAGCGAATGATCATTTGACACTAAAGCTAACTAATGTTTCTTATTGCAAAATCAAATTCAACTGAACCAAAACGAAATTGCCGAATGTTGAATTGAGATTGAAAAATGGATTGCTTCGTTAGCACTGAATTGATTGACATGAGAATTGCATCGACAATGAGAACACTAACAGCTGCGCTCATTTCAGGTTTTCTGTTCAAATGTTTCAAACAGATTTGTGGGCATTCCTTATCGCAATGAGATATATGATGAAATCAGAATGAAAAAAAATTTTGAATGACAGATTAAAAACCGAACGAGATGATGATTCATCGATTGTGTGTGCTTAATACACATCTTATGGTTCGGATTACTCAACTCACACCGTCGACATGATTGCTCACAGAGCATCATTATTTGATGATTGCTCTCGATTTTCGTATCTTCCTCTTCATTTATTTGTGGTTAATATGGCAATATTTTTCTTTTCACCGAACCTTTCATGTTTCCTAACTGAGCAGCAATCAAATTATATCATTCCCTGATCGATTATGGCATATTTTTGATGATTTATTGAATACTTTCAACGTATTTTTTTACATCGAAAGTGCGTTACATCCACACAATCATTCAACAGTCATTGCAACAACCATTCAATAAATCCGCTTAATAATGTTAACACAATCATCGAGCATCATGTACTTTCATTGTTGTAATACTCACAAAATAAACACAATTCTTCCCGTTAAATCGATAAATTTTGGGGCTGAAATTGTCCTTATTTTTAACATATACCCTAAACTGCAATCGAAGTATTTCCATTGTTTTTTTTTCAAAATTCGGATCCAGTCATTCACTGGTCGTGTTCTCTCGAACTCGAAAATAAATGCTTTCGAATTATCTTAACTCTTTTCTAAAATTCGGCTCTTCCATATTTGTTTGTTTGTTTTGTGCTGTTTTAAGGTGCTGTACTCTTGTTGAAATGAAAAACTTTTATTGACTGATTGAGCAGTAAAAAATGTAACATCGAGATATCGACTCACTTAATACTCTCAGCTAACTAGCATGAGCATTCACTTCGTATACAACATGACTTCATTGGACTGTTCTCGTAGTGTTATGTTGATGCTTTTTTATTTTCTTCGTCCTTAATGTTAATCGATAAACCGAAACTGTTGTTAAAGCATAAAATTCAACTTAAAATTTTATTTATTTTGAATCGTTATCAGGTTTGCACTATTTAGTTTACTCCAGGTCTCATCCTCATCATGATTCTCAATAACTGATTGCTGATCCATAACGAGTGGTGTTACTGAAGGTAAAGCAATGCCAGTTAGTTAATGATTATTCATCAACTGACCGTTCAGTAAACAATATCACTCGTTTCACAAATTGTTCACGATAAATTCACTGTGAGATGTAATGACTGTCTTTCCACTTTAATGTTATGATGCTTTTGTTATCTAACACCAATAACGACTGACAAATAAGCACAGTTTTGATGCATTCACTCAAGCATATTTCATCGTTTCATATCTTTCCAACGTTAACATTCCGAGTGATTTTCTCAGGGAGTGTGCATATTGATATTGTTGTTCAGAAAGTGTAAGTTGTTACTGAATTTGGACGATGTTAGTCTGATATAGGGATAAATATTTGCGGTTGAAAAAAATGTTTAATTAAATATTAGATGCAGCCATCGTATGATCACTCAATGCCGATGTATAAACGTTTCATTTGAAGGTTGTCAGCCATGTGATTCACAAAATTTATCCATTTTTTCCACAGAAACAATCGAGAAAATGATACGAACTAAATTGCGTATATTCCATGTCCGAATTCTGTTGCAATAAAGTCAAGTGCACGAATATTTTCTGTTTTTATTGCTGTTTATCTTCTCAAACCGACTATAATTTTAATCAACTTTTGATTGGCAACAACAAAGGGGACACTTTTAAACCAACACATTTATGATGATATGGCTTTTTTGTTATTCCATTTCGGAACTGTGTAATAAATCATGATTGGAAGTTTTGTGTTCACCTTTATTACATTACACTCACTTCACATATTTCTACTGAACAACGTTATTCTGTCGGTTCTTAATTGTTTCAAAGATGAGTCGCAGCAAGTGAATTAAACAATGTTCTTTGATCGTCCAGTCTTGAAATCGTATCATTTAATGTAAAGATGTGCGCTACAAAAGCACATCATGAACGCTCTACGAATGTACGTAATAATCTCACGTCACGAATGAGCAATTTTCTTTACTTACATTTACATTACCGTTATTGAATGGCACATTTCCTCATTGAGGCATTGTAAAGTCCCGTACTCATATTAAGCAGCTCATATGATTTGAAGTCATGGCTTACATCCAATGTTCTACGAACATGTTTTAATTTTTTGATTGCATTTTATTTGAGAGGATAATTTGTTGAGGCTTTTATGATTTAGTTTTATCTTCTAACAGTAAGGTCGCATCTTGAGCGTAATTTAAATTGTTGATGATGATACAATTATCTATCAGAATAATTCCGAGCATTGAACGGATTGGGAATTATAGAATACATATATCAAATCGTTGGCTAAATTTGAAGATCATGTAAGATGCGCATATTTTTTGGATCTGTATCAACAGTTAAAAAAATATAAAATGGGAACGTTATTGACAGATCAACCAACATTTTGCTGCGTGATCTACTTTTTCCCAACCACAAACTTCAAAATTTATGGCAGTCCATTTCTCACCGTCTGGAAGATGTTTTTTCCTTGAGAACATTAGAGGGTAATCGACTGTTTTCGAATAGAATAATCGCTGAAGTTGAGTGCTTGGTGATAAAGCCTCATTGTCAAAAAGGTCTCATAAACATTTGTGCGCCAGCTTACTCTAGGGATATTTTGTTTTTCTTTATTAGGTTCATTTCAGCAACCAGTTCAGCTAGTTGCCTTTTCCTTTTGTCTTGTCTGTTTGTTTTACAAGGCGTATTCTCTTTTATGAATCAACTGTACGGAATAAAAAGTCTGAAACACGAACGTAGAGTCAATAAATTAATCAAGAAAAAGGAGTGCATAGATGTGGTTTAAGGATACTGAATCATGAATAAAACGAAAAATGCAAAATAAAACCTTACCTTTAAGCATAGAGAAATGGAGCAAGGTCTATTCGACCATTACAAAAAAGAAATTGTTATGCTTATTGTTAGTAATGTGCTCATAACATGGAAGAACTAGTTTCTTCTTGGTCACTGAGTTGATTCGAGGACGAAGAAAGTGTTTGAGGCTCATTAAAGCGTTCAAATTTAGAATGAAATCAATAAAAACTTTTGTCCGCTCACATTTCGTTCGTCTTTCTTTGCATTCATCCATAATTACTAAGCATACATAGATGTGCAAATCTTCACTTGCGATTACACAATGCTGATGGCTTATAGTGCTGACGTAATGAACGAAGACCACGCCACGTTCTTTATAGGTATGTAATGTCAAAGCCGTTTGAAATTCAATTTTTCGCTATTACGTTTTATCCACACTGAGAACATGTGGAAATATTGAGTTTCATACTATTAGGGTACTTAAAGAAGCACCCTTAGACGAGATTATGCGAATGCTTACTTATTGGAGTTGATGAAAATGAGATAAGTGATAAGCTTCTAGGCATCAGCCACTTACCATTTAGGTTCTCAAGAATGAATTGCATTTATCTCACTTATTGTTTCATTGCTATATCGATCGCTACTGTTAACGAACAAAAACACAGCTGATAACCATTCAACATGTTTATATTTGGGATCATGTTTATATTTCTATCGTATCGCCTATCAACAGGAATACCTTGATAGGACTATTGATACCAGTGAGTGCAACTCACCATCGTATCACTTATTTCGATTTCAAAATATAATATCATGATGGCACCATCCATTTTTTAATAGCCCCCTGTTTTATCTTTATTTTTCAATGCTTCTAATCAAACATAAAGTGCATCGCATCTTCGTATTATCATCAGATTGTTCCCCCCGTTTCTTCTCTCAAACACTTGAACAACAAACAACTGATACTAGTTAGAACAAAAAAGACTGTCTTCTTTCTTGATTTTTCTGCATTATTTTTATTCGCTGTCGATTAATTTCCTGCACGTAATCGTGATTGTTCGATGAAAATGAGCAAGTCGATAAAGACATGCGTTCATTAATGATCGCTTGCAATTTTGCAGAGAGATGGTACGCGGTCATGGCTCACAATGCATTTGTCAAATATGTACATGTGGGTAAGATTTCATTAGACTGCATTGCCCTCAAAGTGCTTTTAAGTTGTGATGTAAATGCGCTCATGTAAGCAGTACTCTTCAGTGCTTATAATAAGATAATCTTGAAGTGTTCATCATGACAACATATCGAGTTCATTTCAAATTGACATGCCGCAAATATAACATGTTCTCAGTGTTATTTAATTCATTCAAATTAAACACTATTTAAATTGAGGTTGTTTAGGCGTCATAGATGTCCGCACGATCGAAATGCGAGTTCCATCTTGTTGGGTTCACCAGATGTACATGAATTTAAGAGAAAAGTAAGAAAACTATATTTGTTTATTAGTATATAATATTCGATACTGTTTTCGAATGAGTGCGGAAAAACATTAGAAAGGTTTGAGCGTTTTAGATGCATAGTTTTAGATTTGCAATATGTTACATTAACTGCGGATTTTGGTGATGGTTCAGATATGTACATATGAAACATTGAATAGCAGATTGGGTAATTTATGTTGCATTTATTATACTGTATACGAACCAAAACCAAATTAATGTCATTTGCCTTACCATTTCATTTTTTGTGCCATTCCATCCATCTCTATGATTGCCTCCATTTCAAAGGAATATGCAGTGACAACACCCGGTGAACGTACTCTGCCAATCAAGCGAACAGGTGAGTTATCATTACACGGACTTGCGAATGATTCAGATGTTTCACAGTCATATGCCAAAGAGGCCGATGCTATAAAATCTTCATCCATACAACGTTACACACGAATTACATCCGGTGCTGTTCGTCGTCACAAAAACGATTCATCTGTAAGGAATGATACTTTTTGTTCTATCGTCGACTGATTTCGAATATCTCGATGATATTTCAGAATCGTATCATAAATCGTTTTTGAAACCATATTATCTATCAAGTTAAACATTGACTAGTTTTCACAATATTCTCATCTTTCGATTGAAAACATTTAACGTCAGGACGCTAAATCTTTCACAGTTTTCGATAGCTTTGCTCATTTGCTAGTTCAATTGCTGTTAGAATAACCTTTTTATTAACTTCTCATGCTATGTTTGTTTTAAGGTTCAATAGTTTTACAAACTGAATGTCAGTGTGAATTGTTCTCATTCCCAACAGTTTTTGCCCATTTTAGATTCAACTCGGTGCCGAAAATGAAAATATGATAGTTGATTCGGCCAATCACACTCTAAAAGAACGACTTATGGCCAAGAGACCACAAGAAAACGCACTCACTTGTATGCTTTCACTTAAAACTCTTCAAATATACCCATTATATTGTTCCATTTGAAATCGTTCAACTGGAATTCAGAGGACAGTCAATCTAAAACTAGTTATCGATGTAGACCAGCGGTTTTAGACGTCGGCGGTTGGGGATTGGGGGCAGCGTTAACCGAAAAGGCGATGAGAAGCTTAAGAAGTCGCTTGATAAGTAGGAGGAAAATTCAAGCTGAAAATCGATCTGTTCGTCAGGAGCTTGCACGAGTAAAAACATCCTACAAACGAGTAGTGTGAAAACACAAATATCCTGCAACTACGTAGTGTTTTTTTGATGCTGGGAGTTCATGCACCTCTTTAGGTCATTGTTTTTGTGGAATCTAGCGCATCAATTTATGTATTCATTCCTACAATAGCCCAAATGACTTGTCTGTAATTGTGAAAGGGGATGGGTGTGGGGGTAGGGATGCGTTAGAGTAGCGAAACGTCTGAACGGGAGCGAAGGCGGAGCGCTGGAATGGTATTTCCGAGAAGGGGCAGTAGAAAGAAAGAGTTAGACGGAAACTGATGTGGTCAAACGAAAAGTTTAGCAATGAGAAATCATGCGATTGGTTGTCTAGAAATTTGTGAGGAATCCTTTAGAACGTCGTCTCTATACTTGAATAATTATTTGGAGCTAGCTGGTCGATAATGTACAGGTAACCAGAAACATTCACAAATGCTATTTGAAGTGGATCGTACAAAGCATGCAAGAAACGAAATATCAGAAGAGGATGGAGAGAATATGCAAAGGCATACAGAAATACGTAAGCAATACATAACGCGCAATGGCGTCAGAACAGAAATTTCAAGAACTCAAACCAGACAAATTGCTACTGTAAGTCATACGGATTTATTCGCATATTGAAACCCTTATGACAATTTTGTTATGCAGAATAGCGCACGATCGAGTAATGTTAATATAAATTCACTCAGTTATATATTGTTCACTGCAACAGACATTGTGCTTGCAGACAGTGTTTTTGATTAATTTATGATAATTGATCGCTTGAATTAAACAAATGGGGTGGTTTTGTTATTAATACAACATACTGCCTCTCATATGTTCTTTTATATTTCTTGTTCCTATTTATTAATGATATAACATATTCCATTGGGATGGTAAAAAATAGTGATCAGGAACAAAGGGGCATTTCGGGATGTACAGATTGAGGTGTGGATAATCGAGTTAAGGAACGTTTTGTTTTCAATGTAAAGAATTCAATGCAATTTTACAATAAGGAATTAGCACTTCGAAATTAAAAATTGATAATATGGCAGTCATAGTAATTTGAAAAAACGATCACTACTTTTTATGATAAAAAGTCCTCATCTATTTATCTGAACGAAAAATTGACATACTGGTTGCATACACATGTTTTCGGGAATTCGTTCACGCGATGATGGAGCAGTAGGAAAAAGTGAAGATTATGTGAGAATTAGTGAAGTCTAGCAGATATAGTGAAGTCAAATAAGATACCACAAAAAGCAGTGGATGATGAACATAGCACACCGTACTCCTTGAGAAAATCGAAAGCTGACATTATACATATGAAAAGTGAACATGAAAGTACGTAAATAGCAATAAGATGCTTTGCGATGTAATTTCAGTATCACCTCATACACAACGTGTAATGCACGGAAGTCTAAAAATTTCAGAGCGAAGGCATCATGCAGGCGGATAGTGTTTCTCATGAGGAATATTCCGGCAAAAAAGGGGAGCGATATGAGACAAAAAGACCAGTTGACTCGGATCTTTTTAAAGGATCTGGCTCGTTCACTGCTGAAACGCAAAATAACACCGATTTTACACCGAAACGAGGTGAACGTTATGTGCTGATAAGACCAGGCAGCTCAGATATCTGGAAGGTGAATGAATTATATCATCTTGCAAATCAATTTTTAATCACTCTTCAATCAGCAAGCTTATTCATATTGCTGTTATCAACGACAAATGAAATAGCATTCGTTCTTATTGCTGTAACTAACAGAAATATGCAAACTTACATTTCGCACTTCATTGTCTGCATATCTTCTTATCAGGATTGCATTTAAAACACTTATGTTCATCATCCATTTGTTATTCGAACTCAAAAACATCACAAGATATAATTTTATTTTAACTGAATGTACCATTGTCAATAATCCGATAATCACAATTTTTTCTACTTGATAGATAACCCCTAACGAGATTTATACATGATTTTCTCTTCATTTTTTTCCCACCATGACCCATCTTGTTGACATCAAACTTGCCCTATAGTCAATCTTATCCACGCATGTGAACTGTAACAACAAAATCAGTTCAGACGAATAACCGTGTCAGGGTCTACGATCTTCAGGATTTACGAAACGAAAGTAATAAAGGTAAACATCTAGCAGCAGTAACTGACATGGATATATTCACATATGATCAGAACTTCACAACGAGCACTCCAAAAGGAACCGGAAACGAGAAGATTGATGGGTCGAAATCACATCTTGTTAGCACATCTTAATAATCAAGGAGTGTAACCATATTGAACAGTGACAGAATGCGACTCACCTTTATTGCACTTAGTTTCACACGAGACCCACCGGTTGAGTTGAACCGTAACACTCATTTATTCAGTGAACGGCAACGAACTTCCGCCAAACACAATGAATAAGCCCGCAAAAACGATCACAGCAACTCGCATTCAGCATGAAAACTCAACCTGATTAAAAGCAGGACCATATCCAACACATACTTTTAGACAGTATCGAAAACTACAACAACGAGTGCCACACATCGAACCATCTCAGAAAAAGAAATAAACAGACACAAAATCACGCGGCGTCGAGATTCAGATATTCTGAAGGGTGACGCTTCGTCCATCGTGGAAACTGATAAGAATGTCAATTACAACCAGAAGAAGGGCGAAAGGTTCCCAACCACGAAGCCTGAAAGCTCGGAAATCTGGAAAGTGAGTAGAGCACCTATGAAACTTCTGCTTTTGCTGTCAGGGATCTCGTTTCCGCTTATTTTCACGTCAGCTGTTTTTATAGACTGAAGGACCAGCTGTTACTGAAAGTGTATCACATCAAGAGTATTCTGGGAAGAAAGG